TTTGAACGCATGATGTGCATCATCTTTTTATCACGACTAACTTTTTGTTTTTATCAAGCGACTTAATTATACCATGTAACAGGAGAGACAGACATATAATTATATACAATTGATTCTAGGGAAATATTACTGCTCCCGAATGTCAACAATTTATGACATATCATGACAAATTTCTTTTGAAGAATAACCTGTCAAGAATTTATCCCCAAATGCCACTGCTTTCTGCTATTCCCAAAGTCGTAACAAATTTCTTTCCATTGTTAAAAGGAATGGACTCAATTTGAATGATAGAATATCAACGGTCGAAGCAGGTTGATGCTGATCTTCTGCTAGTTCTTCTCAATCCTAACCCCTCCCTTAATATTAATGGTCCCCTTGGGACTTGATTACTACTTGCACCCCGGGTACAAGTAGCACAGTTCAATGATATATCGCAGTGAAGTCACCGTGGAATAAATAAATGGCCTGCATGCATGGATTATGGTGGTTCATGGACCACACAACTAAGCAATAAAAATTAATTAAATTAATTTTTTTTTAGAAGGAAAAAAGAAATGGGATTGTCGGTCTATCTTGGTGGGTGGGATGGGACTGGGGGGGACGTTTAAACGTCGGATAATTTTGAGTAGAGAACATATGATGAGGTGATGTGGTGCTTCGTTTGGTGCGGGTACTTTTTTAAACAAATCGAACGATAAGCTGCTGACAAGGACGTTTCTTGTTCTTTCTTTTCTAAAGAGGGACGTTCCTTACTTGATAGGGACGTAATGATGTGTAATAATACTATTAATTAATAGTATATGTTAAAGAAAGGGATATGATTTCCCCCACTCTGTTTTTTTCCACTTACACTCTCTTTTACTTTTTAATACTTTTTAATCAATTTTGTTCATTCTCTTTCTTATTATACCTTTACTCTACATTAATTTTTTTTACTTCATTTTTATTTTAGTTCTTTTTATTTTTACTTTATTTTCCAACTTGCATTCCATTTTTAGTTTTTTTTTTAATCGAGTAAGAATTTAATTTTTTTTCCCTTTACCATTGAAAATGGAGTGTAAGTTAGAAAATTAAGTATAAAGAAAAAGAAATAGTATAAAAGTGAAGTAAAAAAGAAATTAATGTAGGGTAAGGGTAGAACAGGAAAGATAATGAACAAAATTGATTAAAAAGTATTTAAAAGTAAAAGAGAGTGTAAGTGGAGAAAATGAGAGTGGGGAAATCAGCTCCCTAAAGAAAAGCCCTTTGTTAGAAGTTGTTTCGCATATAAATCCCGACATCTGATTTTTTATATTATAAAATTCTTCTTATTTTAAAGACATATTTACTTATTAGAGATGAGAGAAGTCATGATTCGGGAAGTTAGAAAGATGAGAAACAATAATGAGAATAAGGTCAACTATTCCCTTAATCAACTTAATTTATAATTTTCAGATTTGGGATTATGGATTTTAATGTTTAACTTTAAACCACATATTGCTTATGTGTTAGTAAACATATGTAAAGCCAGGGATAATTTCAATACTTGTTGGTAAACATATGAAAAATAAAAATTATAATAATTTCAGCATCCATTCATGGTAAGTAAACATGTCATTATTTTATATTTATCTATAAGTTGTAGATTAAGCCATATTATTTTATGCGGCAAATGCATTGCATAATGTAGTAAGAAAAGCAAAATACTTGCATCTTGTAGACAGTGGCAATCCACCAAGTTGAAGGCTAGCATATGAATATATGACACTTACCAATAATAAAGAGGGAATATCTAATGACATATGAAATGCAGAAAAAATCTTGTCATGTTGGGTCAAAATCAACTGTTTCTCTATGGTTCTTGTTTATCTATGTACCATGCATGACACTGAGTTGGAAAATTAGATGTCGAAAATGCTGGAGAGTGAAAGAAATCCAGCTCATATGGTTTCACAAGTTCAATCAGAAAATTATGTTACTTTTATATGGAATGGAACGTGTTGATGTGACAGCAACCTCTCATATTTAACCAACTTATTATTTTTGTTGCAATTTGTAACCAGTAGTGTCTATTGTCATCCTCCACTTTCCTTTTTAAACCTCTTTGTTTTTATTAAACTATCAAAGCATAAAGAGCCCCAATGCATTGTTTTTTAATCGAGCTCATGCAGCCATGTTGAAAAGCAAATTAAATTAGAAGATGTTTTAAATTTGAATTTTCTCATTCATTAAGAACTTGCATATGGGCCGACATGTCTTTCATTCGAAGTTGAAGTTTTCAAAATTTGAAGAATTGAAAAAAATCTAATTGTTTCATAACAATTTTTTTAAAATCCAAATTCAACCAAACCAAATCAAACCCAATTTATTTTCTTAGAACATCCATAATGGGCTCCTTAAATCATCTATTTAGCTAAAATTTAGGCATGAATTGAAAAAACCCACCTCCAATCATGCTCCCTATCCAACTCATAAAATAGGGAGACCTTTAAGAGCTCATAAATCCGAGAAGAGAGAATGAGCTCTTAGTGACTCCCTATAATTAAATGTTATTATATTTCATTATTATTTTAAACATTTATTTAATGATGTCTTTAATTTCATCTTTTTTTTAATGCATTTTATTTAATGATAATCAATATTCAAAGGATGGCATGGCCAATCAATCTATAAACGAAGAGTTGTAAACTCAATTAGCCAACCAAAAAAAAAAAACAATGATCTCGCAACTTCACAACAAAGGAAGACAATCTCCTCGTATCAGCTTGGCTCAACGTCAGCTTGAATGCGGTACAAGGAAATGAGCAAAAAAGTGTAACATATTGGAAGAAAATTTGGGAATACTTCCATGAATACAAAAGCTTTGTGAGTGATTGGATTGCCAATTCTTTAATGCATCATTGGTCAACAATTCAACTTGATGTGAATAAGTTTTGTGGATGGTATGCTCAAATTGAACAAAGACAAGTGGTCTCAATGAACAAGATAAGGTAACATTATATGTGAAATTATATATATATTATTTCATTTTATGATTCAGTTACATTTTTATTATTTATACTTTTGCAGATCCTACAAAGGCAAAGAAATGTATGAGAAACTAGTTGGTCAATCATTCACATTTCTGCATTGTTGGCATGAATTAAAGCACCATCCTAAATGGTTGGTAGATTATTCCAAGAGAAAGCCAAACAGTTCAAAGAGAAAGTTAAAAAGTGCTACAACAACTTCTCCATCCACTCCAATATTAGTAGAAGAAGACAATTTGACTAACCTTTGTCAATTTGGAGAGGCCTTTAAGCTGAAAGGTTGAAAAGGAACGATTGAAAAAGAAAAAGGGCAAAGACCAAATTTATGACAATATGACTATGCTTACTTCAATGCTCTTAGAAAAATACATAGAAGAAAAAAAGGAAATGGAGCGCAAGAGAATGGAATTTCAAGAACAGATTATTATTCAAGAGCAAAACAAAAAAAAGTTTATTATTTGGGAATATTCAGTGTTTAAATATCAACATTTTATTGCAAATTGAGAATTAAATTTAAAAAGAAGTAAAGTATTTATGACAAAAATAAGTAAAACATTTATGACTCTCTACATTATGGAATATGGTTGGAGTTGAAATTTTTTAGAGAGCTTCTAAAATAGTTTTGTGTGTGTATTTTAAACTAAATTTTAGCTAAAAAATAGAAAGCATAATTGTAAATGCTCTTACATCTTGCCCGTTAACAAATTACTAATATGAATTTTGGATAAGATTAAAGACCAGCACTAAGAGCATCCACAATCATGCTCTCTATTTTTCAGTTAAATTTTAGTTAAAAATATGTAAAAGTTATTTTAGGAGCTGTATATAAAATTTAAACTTCAATCGTGCTCTCTAGTTTAAGGAGTCATAAATGCTATAATTCTTTTTTTTATTGGTCCATCTCTATTAAAAAAAAAGGTTAGCATTAAATAAAGGTTTGAAATACTCATTAAATAAAGCAACATTAAATTATAGTGAGCCACTAGTAGTCCTTTCTCTCTTCTTAGATTTAGGAGATCTTAGAGGTTTCCTTATTTTAGAAGGTGGATATAGAGCATAGTTGGAGTTATATTTTTACAATTTATCTCTAAAATTTATCTAAGAAGATGATTTAGAGAGCCCATTGTAAATGCTCTAATTTAATTACCAAACTTTACCATTGTCTCTTAACTACAGTGCTTCTCGCGAACACCTACGTATATAGAGCTGCTGCCCATCATCCAATGGGTGAGAGTCTGAGAAGCAATCGACGGCTGATATCCAATCAAGTACTGGGCCTCACATCTCCAATCGCTGTGCTTGCGGCAACCCGACGCGGAGAAGCTGTTTTTTTCTTCTTCCCGCGTTTCAATGCACAAATATATATAGAATCTGCTACATACTTGCGCTGGCTGGATAGAGTAAAGTAAAGAGGTAAAAACTCGGCACGTAAGAATCTCGGAGTTTCGCGAGAAACTGACGGTAAATGCGGACTTGAAATCCAACTTCAATTGGATTTACTATTTTTAGGAGGAGGCGCAGCGCAAATACAACGTACACAACAGTATGCAGTTGGGAAATGGAATTGGGGATAATATTTCCAGGCCCCCGAATTTCCCTTGTACACGTGTGGGGGGGATACGTCGTTGGCTGTTTGCGTGTCGTTGGGTATGCATCGGGAGATATGTTTCCCTGCATGCATCTGCACTGAGATAATCTTTTCTCAACCAATCAGATCAAGATTACTCGAAATTTCTGCTCCAAGTGGCAACCGTGTAAAACGTCGGACTGGATGAGCGAGAACAGGTAGGGTGGTGAGCGGAGCAGAGGATTGGTAATTATTATCCTCGTTGTGCATCTCGTTTAATTGGTTTTTGGACTTTTTCACTTGAGTGAACCAAGAGAGATAGGGTTTAACCATGGTCAATTTTTGACCGGAGTTTTTTGAAACCCTGGTTAACAAGGGGGCCACTCAACCCTTTATAAAGGACATCCCTCCCTTCTCATTTCCCTCACCACTTATTCCCCCTTGTGTTACGACACTACACTCATATTCATGCTCTCTCTCACTCCGTTATTTTCTACCTTCTCCATTTCCCATTAGCCTCAATTTAATTTCCTTCCTTCATTTCTTCTCCAGCTCTCAATCTCTGGTGCACCCTCTTTCTATCTTATCTTTTGTTTCAATCATAGCCCAAGGAAGAAAAAAAAAATTAAAACCTATTGCTTTTCTATACTTACCGCTATGATAACTTGGTGTAAAACATGTTACGTGATAAGAGGACAGACATAAAAATGACATAAAACCTAATCATAATGATTTTCTTTATTATGTGCTATGTTCATGTTTGTTTTTTTGTTTGTAGAGGAGAAAATGGCGTCGAACGGGAACGGCGAGTTCACCTTTGCGAATGGAAACGGGACGGCAGCGGTGGCAAACGGCAACGGAGCGGCGAGAAACGGGCTGGCGAAGATCCAGACGCAGAAGAAGGGCAATGGGATGTGTCACGACGACAGCACGCCACCTGTGAAGGCGCAGACGATCGACGAGCTCCACTCGCTGCAGAAGAAGAAGTCGGCGCCCACCACCCCGATCAAGGGCACTCAAGGTGGTGCCTTTGCCATCACGCTTTCTGAAGTGGAGCGACAGAAGCAGCAGCTCCAGTCCATCAGGTATACACGTGGCACGCAGCCCACGTAACTCTTTCGATATACTAATTAATTAATACTCAATACAGATTAGAGCACGAGAAAAAAGAAAGAACTAGCAAAAACCCACCCAAGAAAAAAATAAAAAAAATAAATAAAAACAGCTTGGAACGGCGGATTTGTGATACAAGGGGCCAGGGCGGACGATAGGCCGAATCCACCGTTGTAACAGTAGATCCTACCACTGACACATACCTTGGGGGTCCCACATAAATGTTGATCTTTGTCCAATCTGTGGATGCCACGTGGATGATCTGGTATTATGTGAGCCCTTTCAAGAAGAAAATATTTTTGTTCACCATAACTCATGTAGTATGCTTACCAACTTTTTTAATACTTGACATGACTTACTAACTTTTTTTAACACTTGACACGTGTTAGGTAGACCAAATCTTGAGTTGAAGTGGTGAGAATTTTGTTGGGACTAAATATTGGTTTTTTCTTTTAATTTTAATTATAGGACTCAAATATCTCTGCAAGGTGGGCCAGGCCTATAATTTCCTGCTTGGTTTTATATTGATAAAACACCAAATTTTCTCGGAAATAACTTTCCGGGAAAATGGATGTGACTTCACAACTTCACAGTTTGGTTTTCTGATTTGGTGGGTTTTGCTCGGTTTTTTGTTTTTATTTGGCAGTGCATCTTTGGCTTCGCTGACGAGAGAGACTGGGCCGAAGGTGGTGAGAGGAGACCCGGCTAAGCAGTCTGAGACGCCCAAGGTTTCGTCGCACGTGTCGCACCATCACCATTTCACTCCCACCATCAGCGTCAGTGACAGTGCCTTGAAGTTCACACATGTCCTCTACAACCTCTCTCCAGCTGGTGAGCTTTACCAAATTTTCATTTTTTCGCATCTTGATCCATTTTTGTCTCGCCACCAAAAATAATTGTTGCATACCATCGATTAATTGAGTTGTTTCATACCCCTTTTTCTTGATCTCTCGTGACTGATGCGGAAAATAGATAAAAATGTGTATGAAATATGAGATATGTAAGTTTTTCTCCAACACCAGGCAGGCCCCTCTTTTTTCTTTTATTGATGTGTGGGTTGTATCTGGTGCAGAGTTATATGAGCAGGCCATAAAGTATGAGAAGGGGTCGTTCATTACGTCAACAGGCGCATTAGCAACTCTTTCTGGAGCCAAGACTGGTCGGTCTCCAAGAGATAAGCGCGTTGTCAAGGATGACACCACTGAGGATGAGCTTTGGTGGGGAAGGTAATAATAATAATAATAATAATAATTAGCACCCATTTTCACTTTTTGACTACTGTGTATAATGTAATTAATAAAAGTACAATGGAAAAAAAAAGGCATTGACTTGCCGATCAGGAGTCTCAGGTTTGAACTCCATTGCACTGTAATAGCATGTGTGAAAACCCCCTTTCATATAATTTAGACTGTTGCTTGTACTAAAAAAATAATAATTTAATACCATATGCTTGCTTTTATTTTATTTTTTCTGAAATAAATAAATTACTGGCAGTTGAGAAATATTTGGTATTTTTCACCTGTAGGGGCTCACCCAACATTGAAATGGATGAGCACACCTTCATGGTCAACAGAGAAAGAGCTGTGGATTACTTGAATTCTTTGGACAAGGTCGTTTTTCCTTCCTTCATTTTTATGCCTCACATAAAAGCTTACTTTCTTTTCCAAAAATGGATTTTAGGCCAAGTTTGAATATTTACGTCTTTAAAAAAATTGGCGTTGAAAAATGCTTAGAATATATTGCTTTTAGGAGATAGTGATGTTAGTGATGTGGGTGATGGTATCTTTATTGTCTTGTTTCTCCAACTTGGCCTAAAACCCCATTGGGAGGAGCAACTTTGTTGTTTTCTGCATAATTTGCCCAAATTCTGCCCCACGCGTTTTAGCGGTGCTCTGTATTTATCTTGCATGTGTTGTGTTCAACCTTACCAGTTTAGCAGCCAAGAGCCTACAAGTCTGGGGAAGGATAGATACAACAAGAACATAATTAATATTTGGTCAGACTTATATGGATAACTATTAATTGGTTCTGTAAATTTGAACATATTCCAAACTGTTACGATTTTTGTTAACATGTAAATTAAAAGAGCTTAGTGCCGACGGGTTCATAGCTCAGTGGTAAGAGCATTTGTTTGCACATCAACGGTCACAGCTTCGAACCCCAATGGCACCTCTCCCTTCCAAACTATGACAAAAAAATAAAATAAAATAAAAGAGCTTAGTAATAAGAAGTAGCATAATTTTTGTCTTGCTCTGTATTTGCTGAAAGTTTGTCACTCTGTTGCATATATAGTGGTAAATTTCATAAATGGTATTGAACTTTTGATTTACAGGTCTTTGTGAACGATCAATTCTTGAACTGGGATCCAGAAAACAGAATCAAAGTGAGGATCGTCTCTGCCAGGGCTTATCACTCACTGTTCATGCACAACATGTAAGTAAAACATAAGAATTTATGAACGATGGTTGAATTCGTTGCTTTTCAGCAGTGTATGTTTCTGTATGCCTTCCATGGGGTAAGGCCGCCAGATAAGTCCTCTTAACGTTAACATAATCTTTTTTCTGAGTATTGTCATCCCTAAGTGTAGAAATCAGTCCAGGAAAATAGGAGGTGCAAACATGTGTATTAGCTTAGTGTACAATTGGATAACTGGGTGGGTTGCAGGTGCATCCGACCCACTCCTGAAGAGCTGGAGAATTTCGGTACTCCGGACTTCACTATATACAATGCTGGCCAGTTCCCGTGTAATCGTTACACACACTACATGACATCCTCCACTAGCATAGATCTTAATCTTGCTAGGAGGGAAATGGTCATCCTCGGCACCATGTACGCCGGGGAAATGAAGAAAGGTCTTTTCAGTGTCATGCATTATCTCATGCCTAAGCGACAAATCCTCTCCCTACATTCTGGCTGCAATATGGGGAAAGATGGAGATGTTGCTCTCTTCTTTGGATTGTCAGGTATAGTATCATCGGATCGTGGTAATGGTGTCGCTCTAGCAGCCATATGATATGTGCTCTCTTGCTCTCTCTCCCTCCCCATCCTTGGTGTCTTATTTGAAATGTGCTAAAGATCAGCCATGACATTTCAATAATGAATGCTAATTTTCTTTTTTTATTATTTTGTTTTGTTTTAATAATTAGGTACTGGAAAGACGACTCTATCTACAGATCACAACAGGTACTTAATCGGAGATGATGAACACTGTTGGACTGAGAATGGTGTGTCAAATATTGAAGGCGGTTGCTATGCCAAGTGCATAGACCTCTCAAGAGAGAAAGAGCCTGACATTTGGAATGCCATCAAGTTTGGTGCTGGTAATATATCATTTCAATTTCTTTTATATTATGGAAGCAAAAGTGCTCCGTTTTATCTTGTGAATTCAACTTGAAATGATTGAATTTATCTTCACTGGCAGTGTTGGAAAATATCGTCTTTGATGAGCATACACGAGAGGTGGACTACAGTGATAAATCTGTTACAGGTAAATATTACTTGTTTAGTGATCTATTATACTTATACATGCTTCTGTTCCTGTGATACACCATACAAATTTATTGAGCTATTTTTCTTCTGGTTGCAGAGAATACTCGTGCCGCCTACCCCATTGAGTACATTCCCAACGCAAAGATACCATGCGTCGGTCCACATCCAAAGAATGTCATCCTTTTGGCATGTGATGCATTTGGTGTGCTCCCCCCTGTGAGCAAGTTAAACCTGGCACAGACCATGTACCACTTCATCAGTGGCTACACTGCCCTTGTAAGTTCAGCTATTCCAGTTTATCTTGTGAATTATAAGTTGGGGGCATAATGAGGCTCTCTGCAGAAGAGCAAAGGTGCTCTATGTGGTCTTAAGAGAAAATCAATATATTGGGCTTCTTAACACATTTTTCACTGAACCAATTATTGAAAATTCTTAGGTTGCTGGAACTGAAGATGGTATAAAGGAGCCGACGGCAACGTTCTCAGCTTGTTTTGGTGCAGCATTTATAATGTTACATCCTACCAAGTATGCAGCAATGCTGGCTGATAAGATGCTGAGGCATGGTGCAACAGGATGGTTGGTCAACACTGGGTGGTCAGGTGGAAGGTATGCGCCTTTGATAATATCATCATGACGTTAGAATCATTTTGGCAATAGAATCTGGACCAAATAAATATATATTTCTCTTCTGCAGCTATGGATCAGGAAAGCGCATTAAGCTACCCTACACCCGGAAAATCATTGATGCCATCCACGATGGCAGCCTCTTAAACGCGAAGTACAAGAAGACTGAAGTGTTTGGACTTGAGATCCCCACCGAGGTTGAGGGAGTGCCTTCGGAAATACTGGATCCAGTGAACACCGTAAGTTGGCTTTCTCTTGCAACCATTCCTCTGTTTAGTCTTGGTCTGCCCTTGTATTTGATATCCAACTTTTTTGTTTGGAGTTGCAGTGGTCAGACAAGAATGCACACAATGAAACACTGCTGAAGCTGGCTGGCCTCTTCAAGAGGAACTTTGAGACCTTCACAAACTACAAGATTGGAAAGGACAACAAGCTGACTGAAGAGATACTTGCAGCTGGTCCAAATTTCTGAAACCTTGGCAGAACAAGAAAAACTGGAAACTAGTTCTAGGGAAGTTGGAGGGTCCATGCAATGAAATAAGAATTGGATAGATTTGAGTTGCAGTCATTGTTCTTAGATTTGCAAAATGGTTCTTGTACTTTGAAGTCCTATTCTAATATAATCAAGGAGGTAGATGCTCCATTTATTCCCTCTCATCTTGGCGTGTTTCCAGATTTGAAGTTGATTTGAACATAAATCCAATGCAAAACAAAGAAAATAGGAAGGCATTTTCAAGCCGCCAACTATGGCACACTCCTTCGGTGGAGCAAACCTTTCCTTGACTTGAAGAGTTACGTCTCTTCAACCTCATTTCAGCCGAGTCGTTCTATGGTGAGGGTGAAGAGTTGCACCTTCATATTAGGGTAAGTGTCGTGTGGGATTTAAAAGTCAACCTTGGGCCCAAAGTTCTCTCTTTCTTCCGTTGTCCCATATTTCCCAGACCCATGAGCAAAAAATTTAGGTCCAAATAGGGCTGTAATAAGTGATTTGATTTTTAAAAATGTAATTTTCAGTTCACAAAGTATACCGGGTCAATTCAGAGATGACACAACTACTAAGTTAGGTTTAGTTTAATGATATATATTTTTATTCCTTTCCTTACTAACAAAAAATTTAAAACAAATTCGGGGGGAAAATTGTTACCCTACTTATATTGTTGTTTTCTTGAGACTGATTGAACAAGAAGTGGAACATTGTCATCTTAGGCCTACAATCATCTAGGATTGTGTCAAGGCTAATGTGAACTTATATCCTTTCTCGGCATGTTGCCAGGCCTAGACTGCTTGAAATGGTCATTCATTCCCTTTTTCTAAGAGTTCTTCTTTTTTGTTCTATTGGAAGATACTGAAGCAAAATCTATTCTAATTCTAACTCATTTTTCCGTTTTCATTAGCCGATGTAATTAGTGAATAAATGGTTATCATGTGTGACACTGACACTAACTAAGCTAATGTCTAACGAATCAAAAAAGGATAAATTTTGTCTAATAAATTGACTTATCAGCTTACAATAAAATTATGAAATTAAACAAACATAGGCACTGAGAATGGTACGTAATTTTGTCTTAACTAAACATGACTTGAGATTCATAAGTTTTCATTAAAATAGCAAAAACTTATCCTCATTCTTTTTAGGAAAAAATAATAATAGTAATTTATATATATACTCAATTTTTAGATTTTTTTATTAATGAAATAGTATTGCCGCGCGGCTATACTTTGTTAATTTTTTTTTTAAAAAATAAACAAATAGTATGGGCGGGCGGCTATGCTCAAATTTTTCTAATTCTTTAAAAATATTTAGTATATCCGCTCGGCTCTAGTTGTGTTTTCCAATTTTTTTTTTAAAAAAGAAATAGTATACCCGAGCAGCTATAAGTGGTTTTTTCCAATTTTTTTTAAAAAGAAAACGTATAGCTGCACAGCTATACACGGTTTTTTCAAATTTTCTTTAAAAGAAATAGTATAGTCGGGCAGCTGTACTTGGTTTTTAGAATTTTTATTAAAGAAATAGTATAGCTGTGTGGTTTTTTCAATTTTTTTTAAAAAGAAATAGTATACCCCTCAGCTATACTCTGTTTTTCCAATTTTTTCAATACACCTATTTTTTTACAAAATCTTCAATAATACACACAAAATTCATGTATTATACAAATAATTATGATATATTATTTAATTTAAATATATTAAATTTTTTGAATAAATTATATTAAAATATTATATAGTCTCCGAACTTTTAAGTTGTAATTTAACAAAATTTTGTTGAATAAAACATGTATGTATGTTATTCGTATAATCGCGCCGCTATACCAAATTAATATCTATAAAGTATAAACTAATACAATTAAGAGAGTCCTTTTTTATAATTTTTTTTATTAAATAGTATAGGCACGAGGCTATACTAAAGCTTTTAAAACAAAAAAACCAAAACTATAGCCGGTCTTGTATATTGAAGCTTTTTTTAAAAACGTATAGGCGGCCGGCTATACTAGCTTTTTTAACAAATTATATTCGGTTTTTTCATTTGATTAGTAGATTTGGTGAAAAAACTGGTACCTCTAGTATATTACTGAAGGGGAAAAATTCGGTTAGATTGTTCTTGTTATGTGACAGTGTTGTGCGAGAATAGATTTTGGTAACAAATGATATCTTTTTTCCTATTATTTTTGTATGTGTTTAAATTTGATGGTCAATTTATATTTTTGAAAGCATGCTCTCTCTCTTTTAACTAATTTATAATGGCACTCCCCAACCACCGCACTGCACCATCACTATCGAAGCTATTGAGGTCTAATTGAATCTGAGAAAAGTTCTCAATCGGCCCTCTGTGGGGAACATTTCTTGCGATGAACTTCATCTCTTCCAGTTTGCCCTTATATTGGTCTTCCGATTTATCGAATCGATTCAAGTTTCTTATACAATATTAGATTGGTTAACCATTTGAATGGAAGCATTAAATAAATAAGATAGAGCAGAAAAGAGGTTAATGATTTAGGAAGAATGAAGAAGAAGCAATAAATAAATAAGATAGAGCAGAGAAGTTAAAGATATAGGAAGAATGAAGAAGAAGAAGTTAGATTTCTAACAACATTTACAGAAATACTCAAATTTTTCTAATTTTTTAAAAGATATAGTGTCGCCCACCGGCTATACTTGAGTTTTCCAATTTTTTTTTATAAAATAAATAGTATAGCCGTACTGCTGCACGCGGTTTCTTCAATTATTTTAAAATAAATCGTCGTATAGCCGTGCGGCTATACACGTTTTTAAAAGCGAAATAGTGTAGCCGTGCGGCTATACTGGATTTTTTTTTATAGAATTTTTAAAAAACCATGGTGGTTTTTAGATTAAAGAAATAGTATAGCCGTCCGGCTATACGCGGGTGTTTTTTTTTTTTCATTTTTACAAAGAATAGTATAGCCGTGCGGATATACTCAGGTTTTCCATTTTTTTAATACACCTGTTTTTTACAAAATATTCAATAATACACACAAAATTTACGTATTAGACATATAATTATCAAATATTATTGAATACAAATAATATGTATTAAAAAAAAATTTTAAAAATTATATAGTGGCCAAACTTTTAAGTTGTAATTTGACAAAATTTTACCGAATAAAGCATGTACTTATTTTATTCGTATAGTCGTGTGGTTATGCCAAATTAATATCTATAAAGAATATATTAATGCAAATTGGAGAGTCATTTTTGATATATTTTTTATTAAATAGTATAGGCACACGACTATACTAAAGTAGCCTGGCGGCTATATGTATTTTTTCTAATTTTTTTTTAAAAAAATAGTATAGCCGCATGGCGATACACAATTTTTTCCCAATTTTTTTTTTTAAAAAAAAAAAAAATAGTATAACGGGCGGCTATACTCGGTTTTTAGAATTTTTATTAAAGAAATAGTATAGCCGCGAGAGAGGCCAAGAACAAATCAAAGAAAATTTTTAGGAAGAAGAAGATGAGAGCAATTATCTGGCATTGAATTTAATCTTAGGCTATTATTAGAAAACTAAATTTGGGGTGCCAAGATCCAAAAGCAATGGAACTCTCTTCACGTGTCATTCAGGACACCATGCAATTCACCTTCTCCACATATTTTATCCATTTCATTTTTTACCTCAATTCAATCTTTGACCATAATTTGGCATGCATGAGCCACTGTATAAAAGGTGAAAGACAATACACAAAATTTTCCCAGCTTAATTAATCGCACGTTCAATCTCTCGAATAAAAAAAATTTGAAATAAAAGGAGATTGAACGCCCATACGCATCATCCCCTGTCAAACCGAAAACTATCTTTTGCCGCTCTTTGTGCTCTTCATTTTAATTACTTCAGATACCCACCAAGAAAATGGCTTTCGGTGAGACTGAGACCCAACCAGAAACACAGACACCCGAGGTTGGTTCATTTTTATTTTATATATATATTTTGGCTTCAAATACTGACTAGAGAAAATGGATCAAATTAAGGTCGTTCAGGCTAAGAAGTATGACCAGAACGATGTTGATAAAGTGTCACATTTCACCCCCACTATTTGCGTCAGTGACAGCGCCTTTAAGTTCGCCAACGTCCTCTACAACCTTACTCCTGCTGGTAAAACCTATTCTTCTATCTGTAGTAATACTAAGAGCTGTGCTATGGTTAGTCGCTTATAATGTCTAATCGTTGGTAATCGTGGGACACATATTCGATCAATGATCTGCACGTAGACCACTGACCTTAGCAAAACCTGTAATACTAAACATTTAGCATCGTTGTTTGTTGGAACTTTGGATATGTTTTTTGGCAAAAAATAAAAAGCGTGGGGGAATTGAAGTATGGATTGTATGTGGCGCAGAGCTATATGAGCATGCTGTCAAGTACGAGAAGGGGTCGTTCATCACGTCCACCGGCGCATTAGCAACTCAATCGGGAGCCAAGACTGGTCGGTCTCCAAGAGATAAGCGTGTTGTCAAGGACGCTACTACTCAGGATGATCTTTGGTGGGGAAAGTAAGTGCCCCATTTTCAAATTTTTTTTTACTTATATGTTTTTTCTGAAATAAATGATGTCAATATTTGATTATTGACGTTGGTATTGTCTTTCACCTGTAGGGGTTCCCCCAACATCGAAATGGACGAGCACACGTTCATGATTAACGGGGAAAGAGCTGTAGATTACTTAAATTGTTTAGACAAGGTAATTTTTTTCATCCCATTTCATTAAATTTCCATATATAGTTATGGCTATAGAATAATAATAATCATAATAATAATGGTCTTGAATGTTTGATTTACAGGTCTTTGTGAATGACCAATTTCTGAACTGGGATTCAGAAAACAAAATCAAAGTGAGGATTGTCTCTGCTAGGGCTTACCACTCACTGTTCATGCACAACATGTAAGTACAACATAATTAAGAACTGGGCTGAATTATGCTCCGATTTGCATTTTCGTCCTTGAATTCCAGTAAGACTACAACGTCGATGTTCACTCAGGTGCATCCGACCCACTAAAGAAGAGCTGGAGAATTTCGGCACTCCGGACTTCACTATCTACAATGCTGGCAAGTTCCCTTGCAACCGTTACACACACTACATGACATCCTCTACTAGCGTTGATCTCCATATTGCTAGGAAGGAGATGGTCATTCTTGGAACCA